TCATATTAATTATGACTTTTAAGTAATTATAACATTTATTAAAGTGTTTTAAACTATATATTTCGATGGAAGAGTCGGCACCTTTATACACTTTTCTCGACTGACTATATTAATAACAATCAAAAACGTGATTTTATCGAATATCAAATAAGATTTTTTAAAAATTATTAATTTTGAGAAAGTGGTTTCCAAAATGTAAAACGTGAAACTATGGGCGAAAATAATACAATTATTTTTGGGTGAAAAGAGGAAACTGTTTTTTCATTTTTGGTCGAAAAGAGGACGTGGGCAAAAAGAGGAAGGTCATTTTTGGGCGAAGAGTTCCGCCCTAAATATTAATGATGTTCTTAATTCATAACTGTATTTAATATTTAAAAAAATATCAAGTATTACTTTCGCTCTTCGAGAAAATTTTTTTATTTTATTTAAGTGAAAAACAGATAAAATATTATACTATTTTTAATGAAATATTTTATAAATAAATTGTTACTTTTCTGTTCGAGTACAACTTATATATTTACGAAAAAAATAAAAATTTAATTTATTTTTCTAAATGATGTATACATCTATACATATATATATATATATATATATACATGTATATATATATACATGTATACTATATATAATACATAAATGTAGCTAATGTTAATAATTAATAAAAATTTTGAATCTGTCAATTCGATAAGGCCATATCTCCATAAAATGAAAATTTCCAGAAATCATTAAAAACTGTTTTTAGAGATCAAAATTAAATTTAGATAAAAATTGAAAATGGTTGAATTATTTAATTCCCTTATAAAAAATCAACTATGATATGACGATCTCGCAGGAAATATGCATTATTATTAGTTAAACACATCGATCACATAAAACTAGTTTTGAAAATGTGTGGAGAAATGGCCTTTTCGAAATGACCGATTTAATTATTACCTTGAATTTGCATTTAAATTATTAAAATCACAAGTTATTTTGTTGAAAAAAATAAAATAGATTATTAAGGGTCATCTTAAAAATAAACTGGTATGTTGTTTTTTATCTGTATTTAATATTTATCATATTCTAGTGTTTTATTTTTTTGTAAGGGGTCCAACAATATTTATATAATATAGGTACTGATATTGGAATATAATAATAAATAAATCATTTGAATATAAAGTATAGTTATGAAAAGATATTAAAAATAGAAAAATATAATTTTTTTTTTAGTTAGTTTATCGTAAGTATGCGATAAAAAAAGAAATCTGTTCTATAAAAAGTCAGTTGTGCTGAATCATTAGGTTAATACTAAAAAATTATATTACTAATTTTATATAAATAACAATAAATAAATATTTTATTAAATAAAATATTATAGTATTTCGTCAGCACATTTTTACAATCTTTTAAATCTTTTCTTTGAAAAAATTATTTTATTTGACACAAACTGTATTAGGATTTTTGTTAAAATATAAAGCAATTTTAATATACAAAATAAATTTCTTTATTATACCTATGTATTCAAAATTCAATGCATCAATATTGTATTATTGAAGTTTCATTATTTTACTCATGATGAATTAATAATTGCATTTTGTATAGTGAAATCGAGTTAACTATATATTTGTTCTATACAAATTAGATAATAAATTCGTCCTATATTATATATATTATTATGCAGCATATAAATTTGACAACATATTGTTCTATAATACTATCAGGCACAAGAATCAATACTGTCCATATGCTGCAGTAGCATAGATACTATTGCAATGATAATATATTTATATTATCATTTTCAATGAGTGTGTTAGTTGTGTGCATAGTTTATGAGACATTTCATGAAAACTTTTTAAAAAATGAAATGTAAATCAAAAAATTTTAAATTATGCACGACTGTGGTGCAAATTTTCAATGGACGTTAGTACGAATTTGCTTTCATCTGCATTTTAAATATTGTGTTTGTGTGGGCTAAATATTCATACACATACGTTAATATATTATAAATATATGTGTGTACATAGTGAATATTGTTGAATACCACATAATTCACAGCGCAGTTCCCACACGTCGATATTGTAGGAAGAATAGGATACGTGGTGGGGGGGACTCACCGCGGAGGGAATAAAACATCTCGAAAGTCATAAAAAGATATATGATATTATTTTTATTACAATAAACAAGCTGTGATCTCAGCTGGATAACGTCATGTTTGAAATGACCACGATAATTTTTTACAACATAATACGTCTTCACCCTTGATGTATCTGGGACTTCATATCCGGCGACGGCAGCAATGGCTGCAGGGGGGACGAAATCCAGTTTACGCGATATTTCGCCGGAATATTATTTTTCAAGCACGCGCGTTCATTTATATATATATATATATATATATATGTGTGTGTGTGTGCGCGTGCGTACGTGCGCATGTGTATTGTTCGAGTAGGTATATACATATTATATATGTACATGGTATGTACACCCAAGCACTGCCTAACGGTGGCAGTGATCCCGGAGAAGAGGGAACACGAGGAAGGGGATACATGGGAGACACAAATCGTTTATTTGTGACTGAGGGGGTGGTTGCAACGTATATAGGGGATGATTTGTTTTGACGCCAGGTGCCCATGGTAACTGGATTACATAAACAGCCGCGACGGAATCGCGTGCAAAGAACGGTTTTTCGGCGCCCCCGTACCCTTCTCACTATTAACGCACCCGCCGCGAAGGCCAATGATAAAATGTATACGTGTACCGCAAGTGTGTGTGTGTATACCTACGGAAACGCGGTTCAGGATGAAACATGTGAAAGCCGAGCACGTGCTGTGCAGGACGTGGTAATGCCGGTGGGGTACATATAGTATGGTACATCATATAGTACGTATATACGGTCTTTCTAATTTTTCTATTTTTTTTTCTCCGAAAATCTGACATGTGATATATTTATGTCACTCGGCGAACGGGTTATCGGTCGTGACAAGGGGAAGAAAGCAATTGCGTCGCGCCACCCCGCACTCATAATACGCACGCCAAAGTTTCCTTGAAAAACTTCATCACGTAAACATATACCTTTATGTATACATATACACGGTGTATGAGTAGGTATGTCTGCTGTAAGTTTAATAAAATCGTACGTCGCGAGCAAAGTTTATGAATCCGGTTTTTATTACAGACGGAATTATGAGTTTTTCTTTTATACAAACGTTTTTTTTCTTTTTTATTTATTTTCTTTTCTTGTATAGCTATATGTATATGTGCATTACACAACTGATAATTCATAAATAATAAAACATTCATACAGGCGAAGACCGCTGTGTACACAATAATAAATAATTTTCGTCCAGTTAATTAAAGCAAAACCACTGAAAGAACGTTAGATAAAAAAAGACGAAAAAATCTGAGCGAGTGAACATGAGGCGAAGAGAAGGGTGAAAAGGGTATATAGGTATATTACTCGCAATGCTTATACACAGGCCGAGGAGGCAGAGGCCATAAACTAGGCTTGTTAGTTGTTGTTTTAAGGTGGGGCGCCGATGGGTTACGATTTGTTTGGGATGTAAATAAGCCATCACCAGCGGGCGGCCGATAATTTTTATCATTATTTATTTATTTGTCTTTTTGTTATTTATTTACTATATGGATTTATTGCGCGAAGCAAACATCGTGCGATTCGCTTTTTTCAGGAGTTTTTTTAACGCACTCCAATGAAATAGTGTATGATATAAATATTATAATACTATAGGTCACGGAGTTTTCTTTTTTTAATGAACTAACAATATTTACATATTCCCACGTCTAATGATTTTTCGTAATTTCGATTGCGCTAACTAAAGATATTTTTTAATTTTCTATAATGCTGAAATTAATTTAATATTGTGATTATATTTATGAAAAATTGTATTCAATGGCTAAACAAATTAAATACATATTTAATTTTTAATCGATATCCAATTGTAGGAATCAAATTAATTTGTTTGTTATAATTATACCTATAACCTTGTTAAACATAATTTCTTATAAAAAAATAAATATACTAAAAATATACTTACCAGCTTTCTGTGCAATATTTTTATCGTTAAAACATATTTGTTTTTTAATTGTTGGTTTAATTTTTATGACTTGAAACAATTCCAGTCAAATAAACAAAGTATGTACCTAATAATAATATTTAAACAATAATATGTATACTTATAAACGGATGGACAAAACGCACAACAGATTAACGTTGTTGGACGTTTTTATACAACGTCATGCCTCAAGTAATCTGGATAATTTTGACATTGGTATGCAAATTATCGACTAGTAAAATACCAGCAGTAAACTTAAAACCCGTGACACAGAGTAGACCTTATGCACACGTTTCGATTTTATTAGAATTAAACACAGCGAGAAAATTTTAGGGAAAATCTGATTAAAACCATACATTCATATGTGTGTGTATGTGTGTCTATTATACGTATAAACGTTACAAATACCGGTTTTATTTTTGTTGCCTATACGGCCGTATATTATTTATATAAAGGAAATCGCGATAACCATGTATTGGGCAATTCGCCAAATAACCATTTTATAATGGTTTCAATTAACATTTCTTGTAATTCGCGATTCGAAGTTACGATATGCAATTGTATGCTACGGGTGTTACATTGAACCAGTTCGCGGGCCGCGCGTGTTGTTATCTTTAAATTTCATACGAATCGAAATTTTATTAACGCTACTACGGGACTCATTTAAAAATAAAAATAATAAAACCATGGTTAAGCGACGGTGGCAGCATTTTGATACCGAACGGCGATACCGCGCTTGCATGTGAGGAGTGTTGTTGCTGTTAGTACGATGGTATATAATATTATAATAGATACGTATCAGTTCCAAATTGAATCATCACACGATAGGGTGTACTTATTAATAATATTTTAATAGCTGGTAGTCGTTACACGGATGACTAACACAATTTATACTACTCACGGTGTGATTAATAGTGTTTTAATGTTTTTCTCATTTTTTTTTCTTGTCGACAGTTACTATGCACAAATCCAAAGAAGAACAAGCTAACGTTACCAGCTCCCAGTACCAGCGTTCTAGAACGTGCCCGGAGCCACATCACTTGTACTTGGATGGAGACATGTTCCTACAAGTAAATGATTAGATTCAAAGTAAAATCGTAATGAAGTGAATCGTTCTAACCGAACATGTAACTATTTATGTCCCCTACAGGCATTAAACGGTTTTTTGGTGATGCTTACCTGTGACGGCGAGGTTTTCTTCGCGACACATACCATAGAAAATTATCTTGGTTTTCATCAGGTAAATTCAACTTATTGTATGCTATCGATTATTTTATGTAAACGGGTGGCGTTTTGTATACAAACTTTTAATTTTATACTTCGCAAACCTGCAATTACGCCGGCGTTTAGTACCATATCACTTCAACACATATTTTAATTTTAATTTACTCGTAATTTTCAACCATTTTAATATTGTGATTAATTTTTGTAAAAATACATTCAAAACTGTTAATAATTGATATAGATTTATAAAAAAAAATTGTATAAACGGATAATGAAAGTACTTCGTGTATATATAGGTAACATTTCAACAGCTGCGTCTGCGGTACGTTTGTTATTAATGGGTCATGCAGATGTATTCTAACAAAAACAATATTTTATACGCGTTTAGACATAGTTTATATTTTCATTATTATTATTATTTTTTGTTTTTTTAATTATGTTTTATTATGATACTAATTTTCTCGCCGACAAATTAATTGAACATTTATAGCACAACATCGGCACATCTGTGTAAGTAACATATTTTGTATATTATGCGAAGCAATATTAAAGAACCATAACTGTCGCCGCACAAGAGACCCTCAGGTGTAACGCAATAAAATATAAACTCGATGTATTTATTTTGTTGTTATATACAGATTGAGGTAATATTATGTAGGTTTAACTGGAATGACCATTTTACTTGAGCTTATTGTAATTTTAACAAACTAAATCATTTTAATGTCCTACGGGATACAATGTAGAGTATTTAATTGTAGGTATAAGTTTAATAATGTTTATGAATAAAAAAAATAAGTGATTTAGAATGGTATATTTTTAATTCTATACTAAACATTATGCTCATATACGTTCGAAATAAAATATATTGTCTTTGAACGTTTTGAAATATTCTGTATTTTATAATACTAAGTTGTACATTTATTGATAATATTTACAGTAATTATTGGATGACCTTAAAAAAATAGAAATTTAAATATTCCATTTAATGTCAAAGAAATATTTTATTTTGTTCTTGTAATAATATTGAAAAGTCCAACGTGTTTTAGTTGCCTACACAGCTGATTTTATTTATTTTGTAAATGTATTGATTCCGTTATTAATTATATAATTTATTGAATATCAAATTAACAATATTTTTTAACGTATGGAATTTGTTTGATCTTAAATGCATATAATTTATAGTCACCATAATAATAAACCAAAAAGTAAAAAATTCCATGCGCCAAAATTTGTATTGTTATAGATATATAAAATTAATATTTTTAAATATAAATAAAAATTGTTTTCTGAATTTAACTGCTATTAAATAAAATTATCAATTGTGTTTGGATCCCAGATAAAATAATGAATACATGAATATTATTACATATGCTTTATTACAAAGTTAAAAATAGTATAGGAGTAATATATTATACTAATTAAATCACTGCCACTAAATAAAAAATAATGAAAATATTGCTTTTTTTTAACGACTTTCTGAAATAAGCAAATTTATATCGTTTTAAATTCTATTCAATTTTTGTTTTAATAATAATATTTTTTAATTATTATTTAAAGTAAACAACTATTTAGGTACTATATACGTTTATTTATGAGTACGTATAAGCAACCGTATAGTTTATCTATTTTGTTGATCATGAGGTATTATGAAATGTTTGTATAATGGAGTGACATTATGAATTCATTTTAGCCAATAATATTTACTATATAACTTATGTAATAGATGTGTATTAAAGAATTTTTGAACAAAATAAAAAAGAATAATGATAAATATATCTACTTATAAATATTTATAATATTTTCTTAAATATCTATTTTGATTACCGAATTATTAAATCTATTAACGATATTTTTTTAAGGACGATATTAATAAAATAGAACGTGTTCGAATACAATGTGCGTGTCTAAAGTAGTTTAAGAAAATTTAAAGACATTTTAACGCGGTTTTGAAACACAGTTGATCAAATTAATTAAATCCACTACAATCATTCAATAAATGATAGAAACTTAATAGTATACCATATATATTTCCAACTCTTAACTACAAAGTTTTCCAAATAACGGTCGTGAAAACCGTTGTTGATATATTTTTTTAGAATTCATTAAATATGCACATTTTAAGCTAATTGCATTTACAACTCGAATAGATAAAATTAATATATATATTTGTACTGATTTTCATTGGTGTCTAACATATGATTAATATCCAAAACTTAAATTTATGATTATCGATAAAAGTACGGCTATGCATGTCTATTGTATATTATTATTTTATAATAAAATACTTTCTATTTAGATACTAAAATATTAATCGTGTAGTTCTATCTTATCATCTACTCAATGAATAAAAAGAAAAAAAATATTTCAGATTTAGCTTATAGCTAATACAATTTTATCACACCACATTTATAGATTTTTATGAGTTGTAATATCTATAATTTAAAAAATAAAATGTTTACCGATTTTAATTTTTCCTCGATGTCATAAGAGTAAGAGGTGGGATTAACTAAAAGGAAACTAGAGAACCTAACCTGGTGGTCAGTGAACTGTGTTTCCTGCAGCCACGTGCACATTTTATATTAACTCATGGTAATTATTATTACCTACAGTTTCAATTTTAATATTTTTTACTTTTCGTTATGTATAAATAGGAACAAAAGTATAATTTTTTTATTTCATTTGATATCTTAAACTAACAACATTTTACGTGAAATTAATTTAATGAATATGCATGACAGCCGTACTTTTAATATATTATGTAAATTAATGAGTGTACCTATATTATATACTTATATATATATATAATACAAAAGTTTCCTGTTAGATTTTGGAAAGGTTTGAAAATGCTAATATACAATTAATTGTGTATATATATAAAATAAATAATAATAATTTGCCCAACCACAGATTAATAATATTAGTTGATATATTTTTTTTTTTTTGATAATTTTTAAAAACAAATAATGTTGACAGCAATAATAACCGAAAAAAGTCCCAAGTATATTAGAGCTTAAATTAAAAAATATAATCATAAATAGTCGTTAAAAATTACATTATTTTTATAATAATGGGTGTTTACTAATATTGAGTAAATATCTTGCAAGTATTAAGTTTTTATACACTTATTGTAAGTTTTTATTGTCATTAAAAAAACTGAATTCATCCAATTGAAGAGAACTGTAAAATTGTTCTTATTGTAACCTAAAATGATGTGCAGTAGCTAATATAAAATGTGCAATAGAAAATTTAAAAGTGTGTAGCATTTATTTATTGGTTTTTATAAACTTTTGTTTGATTTATATTGATTAGGTATTGAATATGATTATATATTCATTTAAAACCCTTAACTCTAACATCAAATAAAGTTATACTTATGTAGGAATCAAGTTTTACCGATTTTTTGTCGAACATTATAATAAACTTCAATCAACTTACCAAGACTAGAAGGTCGTCTTATATTTTATTATTTTATTTATATTTCATATTTATTAATTTTATTTTTATTTATTTTAACTAATTATTAATAAATACCCTGGTTTTATGTGCACTACTAGATTCATTATTTTAAAATATTTTAGTGTTAGTGAAATTAAGTGTGCAGTGGCAAAATACGCGAATTATTAGCACCAGTTCTGGTTGATAACTGAAAGTACTATAGTCGTGTTGCTGAAATCGATCTTTTAGAATCCGATTCGAAACCGATATTGTAAACGAGCACGTATTCGTGCTGTCTTTATCGCCACAACGGGGCCGCGTAGCACAGCGCTTACGCATTTTGATGCATTCTTATCATAACGTTATCAATGCTGTTTAATTTCGCAGTCCGACATCGTGCACCAGTCCGTCTACGAGCTGGTGCATTCCGAGGACCGAGAGGAGTTGCAGAGGCAGCTCATGTGGAACTCGGCCATACCCACGGAGCCGGGATCGCCGTCTCCGTCCATCACGTTGCACGAGGCCTTGCACCCGGATAACAGCCGTCTGTTACAGCGGAGTTTCACCATCCGTTTCCGGTGTCTGTTGGACAACACTTCCGGTTTTTTGGTAAAAACTTAATTATACAATAACAATAATGATTAATAAATAAAAACATAATATACTTAATATATAATAAAATGTACGATTATTATAATTATATTTAAATCGTTTTGTGCGTCGAGTTTTCCTCGTTTGAGCAATTTAGGAATAATAGATTATATATATATATATTTTAATTTATTATTATTGTTATATCTTTTTTGATTGACATAGAGGCTGGACGTTCGTGGACGGATCAAAGTGATTCACGGCCAAAACCGCAAATCAGATGAACCCCCGCCGCTAGGCCTGTTCGCCCTGTGCACACCTTTCGGACCACCGTCTTTACTTGAAATACCGCACAAGGAAGTCATGTTCAAGAGTAAACATAAACTAGATCTCAGCCTGGTATCCATGGACCAAAGGTTCGTGTGCAATAATGATCCCTCTCTATCGATTCTGACAAAACTAGTGATGGGTACAATCAAATAGTTTATACTGTTGAATAGGATTCGATAGATGTTACAAACTATCAAATAATTTATTCGAATAGTTATCGAAACGACCTAGTATTTTTTTTATCAAAAATTCATTCGAATGAAACTATCGAATACATTTTCATTCGAATGAAACTATCAAATACATTTTACTTCGGATGAAACTACTATAATATAGTACCATATTATGGTATTGATTGTCATTTTATCTAAATTTCAGATTCATATAAATAGCATTGTCAACATTTTTTCCTAACGATTTTCAACTCAAGAAGAAACTTATATTAAATTTTCATGATTTTTTATCGAACAAATTTCAAATGTTTACAAAAAAAGTAATGATTGGAGATTTTTCATTAAGTTCACAGTAGATATCTTAAAAAAATACTGTCGATCAGCCATCTTCAAAAACAGTTAAAATATTTCGAATATTCGAATAGTTCAATACTATTAAAACTATCAAATAGAATCTATTCGATAGTGCACATTACTAGACGAAACACACTGAAATAATGTGTTTTCTTTCGTCTACGTCTTTTTAATAATAACTAATACTTCGAACGTTTTTGCTTCGGCGTTGATAATCCGTTAGTTTTATTGATTTATATTATCTTAATTTTACTTGTTAAAATTAATTTTCAAATTAAAAATAAAAATGCTACTTTTTGGGTTGTTATACTTTTGTTTGTTAATGTACAAAACTTTTATAATTATTCATGATACATTAATTTATATTTGGATTATTAATGTAACTGTTGAATATCACTGTCGGATTCGCATTTTTCTTTAACCAATTCATTGTCTTTATTATAATTAACGACACACTCGATATCCGAATCAACATAAATTTCATTAAGTTATTCAGAATGAAGTATAAATACAGTACCTAAATTTTTTAACATCAAAATGTATAAATACGTACAAAATTCAAACGGTATTATTTCGTATTATTATTACGTGTGTGATCACATATTATCTGTCACAGCGGTTCCCAAGTTTGGAGGCGATAGCAATTATTAGAGAAGGCGCAAGGCAAATATTTATATTGTATATTGCACTACCACATATTTATTATTCGTTTGAAAATAATTTACTTATATTAAAATAATAAAAAATATTTTATAAGGAGGTGCGATTATTTTACTTATTTTTTTTTTTTTGGGGGGGGGGGGTATGTGGAACCCAAAAAAGTTTGGAAACCACTGATCTATCATATTATTGTACACGAATAAGTAATTTTCATAAAAACTAAAGAAATATTATTTTATTTTATTTTATTTTCAGAGGCAAATTATTATTAGGTTATTGCGATTCCGAACTTGGTAACATGGGAGGATACGACTTGGTCCATTATGATGATTTAGCATACGTAGCAAGCGCCCACCAAGAATGTAAGTGACTTTTACTGGTAACTTGATTTATAATTATTATTAGTGTATAGGTAATATCTAATTCCCACCTAATCATTATCTGACACATTTCTATTACACTATAATACTCTCACGAATTTAAACGCAATTTTCGATCTAAGTGTACTGTAACAAAATTGGATAATAAAAATAATACTCATTATTATTTTACATGTTTTTAGTAAATTATGATAATAAATTAATAATAATTTTTACTCTTTTTTCTTACTTTGTAACTGTTTTTTTTTTTTAATATATCATTACTTTAGAAATTGTATATAAAACGTATAAATTATAATAATTAAAAATTTCTTTCGAAAATACATATTTATAATTAAATTAAATTATTTCAATGTATGCATAACCTATAATTATATTTTTAAATTAGCTATTATTATTATTATTATTTATATTGCATTATATACGTGGATACATTTTTAATCTTATTTGACAAACGTAATCTAAATATTTTTTACATTTTTTTTTTTTTTGTTAGCTTAACATTTATTCTATATATTTCGATGATCATTTATACGAATTGACCGTGCATCATTGTAGTCAAATAATAGTTTAAGTACTGAGCTTGTATAAATGATTTCTGAGTAAAAGTATTTTAAATTAAAATGTTCGATTCCTTAAATCGTTTGAATGTATACATATTTACTTATTTTTATCCTATTGAAAATTTCGACCACAAATTTAATGCATTTGAATAAAAAATATATACACTTTATAATATTTAGCTCGAGAAAATTGGTAACTAGAAAAATTTGAATGTACAATAAAAATAATCGCATTGTTTAATTAGTGCTGAAAACTGGAGCGTCGGGAATGATTGCATACAGGGTGCAAACTAAACAAGGCTCATGGCAGTGGCTTCAGACCAGTTCTAGGCTTGTTTACAAGAACTCAAAACCTGATTTCGTGATAGGCACACACAGGCCTTTAATGTAAGTCTACATTTATAACCTTTTTTCCTCCGTTTTTTTAAATTTGTAACTGTTAGGTTTATTTGACAAAAAATTTCTTAGTGTACAAGGGACGTTTTATTGTACAGCGATATATTTATCTTACTCTTTGGACAATTGTTTTTCTTTAGAAATAGCTAACGAGAGACAGAGAAAGAGACCATGGCCAGGCCGAACTAGTGATGGTGCACGTTGGCACTAGCGCATTATTCTAATTGGCCATTCCGTTACCGTACATACAATATAAGATATTTTATCATTAACTGTATGAAAACTATTAACGAAAATAATTAATTATTTGAAATTTAATATAGTAATTAAATAATATAAAGATAATTAAACTTAAGTACTAACTAAATATACTTGTATAAGTAAGGTTTATGTTTTGATTTTTGAAAATATATTCATATATAATCTATACAAGAAGTCGAGTTCTATAGTTGGAGGGAGAGTGAAAGCGCTAAGCGCTTCAATGAAACTCTTTCGGGTTTACTAAAAAGTTTAAGAAATTCAGAAAATATAATACATGTATAATTTATTCATAATCTTAGTAATTAAATAACATTTTTATTATTCTTTAAAATTGTATTTTAAAAATAACAATGAACAAATAATTTAAAATTTTTAAACATAAAAGATCGGCTAGTTTTAATTTTTTCGAGCACTAAATATCCTGGTTGTAGCGCGTATATCTTATGAAGGCACTCTAGTTAATTTGTACATTAGATGGGGGGGGGGGGGAAGAAAAAGATACAATATACGAGTTGTCACCGTTCGTTTTCACATCTCCAAAAACCTTTGAAAGTAAAAAATCATCGTCATCGTCACTGAGCGTATCATATTTGAAATAAAATAAAATAGGTCACCAAACGATTAGATTGACAATTTACGAAATAATAATTGTGCACATAGGGAAGAAGAAGGCCGCGATCTACTTGGAAAGCGGACAATGGACTTCAAAGTGAGTTATCTGGACGCAGGCTTGACGAACAGTTACTTCAGCGACTCGGAACAGCTCCCCGGAACGCTGTCGAACAGCAACGTCACTACAGGCTCCGGCTCGACCGGGACGTCCGGGCAAACGCAACCGTCGCAACCCAGGCGTCGGTACAAGACGCACCTGCGGGACTTTCTGTCCACATGCCGGACGAAGCGGAAACTATCGGCGGCCGCGGCCGCAGCTGCAGCCGCGGTACCAACGACAACCCCAGCCGTGGCCATCGAATACCCCGCGGCTGTTCAGGCGCCAGCCATGACGGCTGTGCCGCCGCCGACTGCCGACGTGCTCTACACTAACCTAAACACGACCACGCTCTACACGACCGGACCGTACAACGGAGCCGTGGCCACCGACAACAGTGGGTACCATCAACCAAATTTCCATCAGACCCTCTACGACACTCGGATACCATACCTGACGGCCACGGATAATCTGTTCCAGTACAGGTAATCATTATGACGTGAACTTTTATCGTTCGGATGGGATATTGCAAGTTCAATTTTAATCGCTGTAATCGTTGTGTTTGAAAAATGTTTTCGAGCTAAACTGTTAAACACAAAAAAAAAAAAACTCGAAATTCTTTGAAAAATGCTTTGAACGCTCTCTCGCAGTCTACTAAGTGTTCTTTTCAAACGAATGAGGCATGACATTCGTAAAATTGTTGTAATTTTATAATAATACTTGTGATTGTAGTAATTTTTTACTGAAAAAGAAATACATATATATGTTTTACTTTATCAGTATAATAGTTCCGCTGTTCCGTATATTATGTTTGCATTCACTTTATCAGAGTTTACCCAATAAATACCCAAAAAGCAACTCCTTTGCGTTCAAAAATTCTATGTTGTTATGATGAAAACATTTATTCTAATAACATAATATTTATAACAACAATAACTATACATTTTTGTGACACATTATATATGATTATTTCCGTCATAAAACGATTTTAAAACCTACGATCAATTAAATCATAATTAATCAATCGGTGATGTAAATAGGTATAAAATACATTGCAATCGAGCGACATATAACTCGTATGCATTAGCATATGTATTGTTCCGCTTTGAAATTGTAAACACAATTTTTAATCGATTCGTTAAATGTCTAAGAAGAAGTTTCAAACGAGAAAGAGTTCAATACTGTTCATAATTTATATTATTAAACGAGTTTTACGCGAATTCATTAAAAACGATTTTCTCCCCACGTTTACAGGCCTTTGGGCAACTACTACACCGATTACCACACGCCAGTCACAACGCCGTACATGGGCAACGGTTTCTTGGATATAAGCTCCAGAGGACCGCCGGTGCAGTGCGGTCTTCCTACGTACGATCAATTGACCACTGTGTCGACTGCGGCGGTGAGCGGCCGAGAATGCGTGGACAAGTTGTATGGCTCGCCGCCAATGGTGTCAATGGAGCACCATCAGCAACAACAACAGCAGCATCAGCAGCACCACCAAAACCACCATCATCAGCAGCAGCAGCAACAGCAACAACAGAGCAACGAGGACAACATGAGCAAATGTCACATGGATGTCACCACTGCCGCAGCCGCGGGTCTGCCGTACCTGGTGCCGCTGTGCGACGTCCAGTTCCGGACGAAGAGTTCGTCGTCGCCGCCGGTTCCGAACGGTGTGAAAATTGAAGACACGAAATCTGAGTACGGAATCCAATCATCCGACTCGGACGTCCCCAGGCAAACGGTACTCATGTGGGGCACGTGTATAGGGGACTCGTCGTCGTCATCGCCGCCCAACCAATCTCCGGGCGGCGGCAGTGGCAACGGTGGTAGTAGTATTAATGGTGGTGGTGGCGGTAGCGGCGGTGGAGGTCCGACGGGAGCAAGCAGTGGCGGTGGTGGTGGTGTTGTCAGCGTCACCGGTAGCAGTGGCGATGGTGGTGGTGCAGAGCCAAGGATGTCGCCGCAGACCAACGGCCACCCGCCGTCGCCGTACATGCAGCAGAAGAAAATGTCACCACCCGCGCCGCCACTGCAGCCTCCGACTTCAGGTCCGTCCGTTCCGCTCTGCAAGTCACATTTACAACCGGACATACCGGACACGCCGTCCAGCCCAACGGCAGCAGTAGCGGCGGCGGCAGCGGCTGCGGCTGCGTACGCTAACCACCACCACTATCATCACCACAACCAGTACCATCACCACCACCATCATCAGCAGCATCACCTGACCGGGGGCCCTGAGGTATGGACACCCCCGCACGCGCACCCACCTCCACCGCACCACTTCTATGCTTATCACAACCACCAGTGAGTTTTTTTATTTTCGGCCACAACCGCGCGTAGTGCTATCGTACATCAAAATAAATTAATGCCTTTACTAACAACAAAAATCCATTTTGTTTAAACACAGAAACACAATTTCATAAAATGAACCGCAGACTTTTTGAATAGTATATTTTTCTATACAGTCAATTTGATTTTAATCCGATCACGCCACGCACATGAGCGAATTTAAAACCGTTTATTTTGATAGCTGCTAATCAGTTGCCAATTATTAAAAATATTTGGCTTTTTTTGCGAAAAAATGTAATTTATTTAATTTCGTTTATTATGACATATCTGAATATAATCAATATACAATTCTTCAATTACAATATATTCATAATAGATAAATTTATTTATAAATAAATAAATAAATGTTTAGGCTGAAATACATTTATATTTGTAAAGTACGACCGGTTTCGAATTAAAAATTCAACATCAGGTATATTCAAAGTTAATAAAATTGCGATTAATAATTTGTTAATTTTTTTTTAATTAAATCAAATTTATTATGTATTATAATGTAACCCATTGTTTCCCAACCTTTGAGTCGCGACCCAACACTGAGTCGCTATTTTTTATGGTTTGCTGTTCGTAAACTGACAAGGAAAATAATTTAGTTATCAAAATATAGTGTATGTATCAGTATTCAGTTTTTGCAGTATTACGTTAAAGTCTATGATAAAATTCCTTATAATAAAATTATTAGTAATGTTATTATATTAATGCATATTAGGTATTTATTAAAACTATTTTAGAGATTAAGCTACCACAAGGGACATTTGTTGGCTATCTTACCTTAAAGGTTAGGAAACAATGGTATAACCCTTATAAGGATAATACATCTTTATCGAACATGGTCGATTTGAATTAAATACCAAAAACGGTTATTATTTTAGAATAATATTTTTTCTATAATTTATTGTCCAACCGTTAGTTTAATATTAATTTAAGGTTAAACACATTTTCTTGGTCTTAGGTTTTTGTATAAAAAGGCCTTTACTAATTTACTAAGTCTAATTGTTGAAACCGTCGTATTAAAATAGTTATAGAATAATAAATATGGATATCACTGTTAAACTACTATTATGCTTTATTTTGTTTACATACTCTTCACGTATTGTACTAATATAATATTATTTATTTTTATTATGACACGAATAATTATAATTTTATTATAATTTTACGAATTCACGCTTGTTTAAAATTTTTTCTTAGATTATGTACATTTTTACATATATTATTACTTTAACTAATAAATAAATTTGGAAAAATCCCAAAACGAGATTAAAATCGATTAAACGTGAAATTAAAATGACAATTTAAATTTAATTTTAATACAAATATGAATGCGTTTAAAAATAATTAAAATTTGCTGTTTGTAGTCAACAATTCGTTGAAACAAACCGTAGTGTCAAACTGTGATATTTTCAATCATATAATACATTTGTTTCAATTAAAATAAGTTTTGTTATTGCCTAATCTAGTGTTTTTCCTGAATTCGAATTGTATAGCTTGTTACTTATTTTATAAAATAAACTTAATTTAATATTATCACAAATCAAAAGTCCAAGGTCTTGAATTTACTCCAAATATTTAAGTACACGTATACGTTATTTGAAAATGTTGAAGAAGCTAACCATGTACCTAACAATACGTAATAATACTATGAAAAAAAGAAACAACAAGTGCGAATGAATAAATAGAAACCATGAATCTATAGATTTTGTGCTAATATGTTTCATAAATTGCATAAGTATATAATATTATGTAAATAAATATGATGGCTCGGAACTTTATGCGTTTAAAAACAATAAAATGTGTGCATACAGATGCATTAAAAAAAGCTTAAATATGCGTTATAATATACAATTACTTTATTATAAAATATGTATTTATGTTTGAGTCAACTTAAAAAATGTATAATAGGTACATTTAAAAAAATTGTAGCTTTCAATTACAATTTCTTTTTTCTATTAAAACATTAATGTCAATATTGTGAGAAAAAAATAAACATTTTTATATAAAAAAAAAGGGTTATATACGATTGAGCCGGTCATAAAAAATTCACAATAATTATTCGTTACGGTATCATCTAAATCACATAAAATGCAGAATTAAATAAATTTAGTAAAATATACAATACCTATAAATGTTTGTACTTCGATATTAGGTATTATAATACGAATTTACATCTAATCAAATTTTGAATATACACCTTTTTAAGAAGCGTAAAAATGCATGAAGTCCGAGACTTTTTAATTAGTTAATCTGATCAGAGGTGTGTTTACGATGTTTCAAATGGCAGGTTTAAAAATTATTGTACAGACGAATACATTTTATTTCGTAATCTATTGTCTAAGTTATAAATCAAGGTATTGGGTATAGGTCTGTGTATGTGTGCGTATGTGTTTGTGCGTGTGTGTAAATATAACGAAGACTGATCCGTAAATACGTCTCTGATCCACGATAATTTAGACGTAGAAAGACAGAAAACCGTCGACAAAGCGTGATCTGTACAAATAATCAGTTGGTTTTATGTTTTACAGCAACAGCAACAGCAGCAACAGCAGCAGCAGCAGCAGCAGCAACAACAACACCACCTCCACCACCACCATCCGCAGCAGCGGCAGCAACAACAACAGCAGCAGCAGCAGCAACAGCAACATAGTCGATGTCAACAGCAGCAACAACAACTATCATCATCACGATCCGTACCACTATCACCACAACAATTACTACCATCTATACAATCACACTGCTCACCACCAAACCGCTGCAATGCCGGCACCGGCGCAGTATCCGAGTCCGTCTCAGTCCAGGTTAAATCAGAGGACCGCAGTCCTCTGCTGTCCATCTCGGAGGTGACCAACACACTGCTGAACCAGTGATGACGATTCAACCGTCGGTGGCGATCGCGCGAAAGGATTCGACCTCGCACATACGGTGGTCCTACAGTACAATACTTGTGTATATCGTCGTGTCGTCCGCACATCGGTGTACGTATGCATATCGACGTTTACATAAGGACATATAATATCAAATGATGTCATGTACTATCATTATTATTATTATAATAAAAATAATTTCTACGATTTTTTTTCTCCAGATTTTTGCTCCTCTATTTTAATAATGTAATTTATTGCACAAAAACTACTAATTTTCATCAATACATGTTTTCGTAATCCACTCCCAATTATACGTAACAATAAATTAATATAATTTGAAAATTATAAATTATAATATTATATTTGACATTTTCATGTTTATCGTTGTAAAATTGATTTATTTTAGTTTTATGTTTTATTTCTGTGATATGAATAGGCTACATTATATTTGTGAAAATATAATTGTGCTGCGTTTCGTAGTTGTATTTTTTACGATAATTTTTAATCGCTTCTCGATGTGTAAAGTTTTTTTTCTTCATATCGGACGGATCGCGAAATCTTAATATAATTATATACAATATACATAAATATAAATATATTATACAGTTTATTGCTTGTAAAAATATTTCTATTACCTACCTATATATATTGAATCTTCTCTATTTGTAATTTTTTTTTTTTTCTGTTATTTTTGACCCCTTGTAATTTATATTTGTACATATAATTATTTATTATAAATTATTCATTTAAAACATCATAAGACTATTATTTGTACATTAAAATATAATTGTGCTCGATTATAAATCGTATGGATGCAATTGTGTTTTAAAGATTATTATATGGAACTGCATGGTGTTGACGACCACTTTTGAAATCTCACTGAACAATATAATATAAAATATAATATTATGTACTCATTTTAATAAGTGATTATATTTACAACGATAATAAGCTCTGTGTTCTCAATAATAAAACTCCAATTGATTAATATTTGTTAAAATAATTTTTCTATGGTGCAGACTGAACGAGAGACTACAGTCCATGCACTCATTGTATATTTATGTTGAAATGCAGCCAAAATTATCTGGATATTCTGTTGGTACTATCATTGAATTTATAATAAAATAAAACTAGTGGTATAATATTGTGTTTGTTCGTAATACACTGTTTAAATAAACTGTAAAGTATAATAATTATACTCAACTACATCAACTATCGACAAGTGTAATACTAAAGTCTCTATAGATGGGCCTCCATATGAGTTTTTCTCAGAGAAATTCATTAATCTTCATCGTATTAATTTAAATTAAAAAAATTAAAGTACATAAAGAGTCATAAATTTGGTAATTTGGTTATGTATAGGCATATCGAGTTGTAAACACATATTGTACGTTAGAAACTGACTAGAATACTTGATTTATGATGATACTTGGTTACTAATAAAGCAATAAACATAAATAATGACTGATGTTTGACAAATAATAATAATATACAATGGAACAATTGTCATTTGCTAAAATTCAGAGGTCTCCAACCTTTTATTTTTATGGTGGACCAAATCTGAGGTACCCTTTTACATCACGAGCCAAATTATTTTGAAGAATAGAGGTAATGAAATTGAAAAATAAATATGTTTTATCTAGATTTTAGAAAAATGTTTATTTATTTTTTATTGCTGTAATTAAAAATTTGTTTTATTGAGATTTATTAATTTATAGATATTTTATTAAGCAAGTTGCCTAATGAGAGGTTTGGAGTTAATGTATTTTTAAAATTATAAAATTTGCTTCAAACTATGTTACAATCAACAGCGTCGTGTGCAAATGGTTGTCCCTTCAGTTATATTTGACGTATTTCATTTTTTAAAAACGTCATTCACATAAGTAAGTGAAACAATAGAATTTGGATGTGAAAATATAGAACGATTGTTATTATTTAAACGGTATCTATTTATTCTGAAATAATCATTATAAACACACCAGCTGAATCATCTTGCACGGAACCATCTCATTTGGGACATAGATTTTAATCGATTATTAGTTTATACCATTCTAAGCCTAATTTGGTGTAACTGTTGGTTATAAAACAAATAAAACGAAATTTCAAATGAATGGATATGATAGTATTGGTTGTACAGTAAAATACCCGATTTTCCATCATGGAACCGTCTCTGCCGGTTTTAATTTTTTTTTAAACTGCTTCAAATTACACGTCTGGTGTATTGATGAGACTGCCAAGTCAAATTTTAAGTTCATGCATTTCGTCATTTTCAAGATGTAGCGATCATCAATGAGTGAGTGGTACATATTAGCATTTTTTTAAATAGATTTTTGTTTATTCATAGCCGAATGACTCGGTAAGAAAATTGTGAGTGTTCAACTTTTTTTGGGTGTTATTCACTGAAGAATTTATGCCTTTTTTAGTGTGTAAATCATCCGTAAGATTGTAATATTATATTAGTAATATCATCCGTAGTATTATAATATCCGCGTAAATCATTAATAAGCAATTAATAATAATTTGTAATGTATTGTAATCGATGAATATTAAATATAGAAATACAATCCAAAAGCGGAACTAGGATTTTTCGTACGCCCGGGGAAAGTATTAAAATTACGCTCTATCATAGACCAAGAATCAAGTACCCTTCCCAACAATTTTTTTTTTTAATAATTAGCAATCATACTATTTGAATTAAACATATTATCAATAAAAAAGTTAAAAATATCAAACTAGTAATTAATAATAGATTATATACTATAAAAAATATATCCTCTAAAATTTTATGCCCGGAGATGAATCCCCGTCTTACCCCTAGTTCCGTCCCTGATACAATCGAAAAAAAAACCGTGACTGTCGTTTTGGGAGCATAAGATCTTTGAAGTTATTTTCATTATAATAGACACGTTCACCATTTCCTAGGTGCACACATATATGGATATGCAAACAACATCAATGGTCGATATATCGTTGTTTTAACATCAATGATTTGTTTTCGATTAATCGATTAAACATCGAGATTTATGTTCGAAATTTTCGAATTTTTTTTTTTGTTTGGATTATTTTAATATACAAAAATCGTTATACAGTATACACTACACAGTTATAATCAGAGCTCGTAAGTTCATGCACTAAAAAACGCATAAATAAGCATGTAATAGTGCACTAACATTTGATCAAATATGCATTAAAAATCCTTAAGTATGTACGAAAAATGCCTAATAAACTATTCGTTTTTATAATATGTATAATAATATTATTATATTATTTTATATAATATTAACATTTTTTAATAGTACCTTTCGAACCCCGTGATTGAGATGTTTAACTCGCCTTACAGTATTAAGAGTTATCTATCTAAGTTATTTTAGGGGTAACTACATGCATATGAATTTATTCATTGTTATCTGTATCTGTATATATAAAACAGTAAGCTCACTGACTGCACAGCTCAAACCATTGAACGGATCGGGCTGATATTTGTCATACAGATAGCTCTTATGATGTAGAAGTGTGTTAAGAAAGCATTTTTGGAAATTTAATTCCAAATGTGGTTAAAAAGGGTAAAGAGATAAAAATGTAAAACGTTTTTTTTATTCTCATTTTTTTTAAAATTAAATATACATAGATACTCTGTAAAACAAATAAACATTGTCTGTACACTTTATATTTTGAATTTCAACCCCTAAGGGAGTTAAGTTAAAAAGTTAAAAAGTGTAAGAATGGAAAAAAAACTTTCTTAATCAATTTGATTTTAGCAAAAGTTAGAAGTACTCATGACGTTGCTTTGATTGTAGAATCTTCTAGAATCGCAGCTACACTGCTCGAAGGTAGTCGAACTGCCCATACTACCTTCAAACTACCACTCAATCTAACAACTTCGGTCACTCCCATAAGTAATATATTAAAACAAAGTCATTTTGCGGAAGTTTTAAAAAATACAAAAATAATACTGCAGGACGAAATTACAATGGAAAATAAGAGTGGTGTTGAGGATTTAAATAGATATCTAAAGGATATAAGGGAAAATAAAAGATTAATGGCTGAATACTTTAAGCATATTCTACCAGTAGTGTAAAAAGGGACGAGAACTGATGAAATTAATAAAGTCATGTCTTAAAAGATCTACTTTGTGGCCGCAGATTTATATATTCAAACTGTCGAAAATATGAAGGTAAACTTGAAAGAAGAAAAGTTTTTTTTGGTAGATTTGCAGATCTTTTACTTGAAATCGGCAATGGTGATTATTCATTATTTGATGAAATTATAACTATCCCAGAAAATGTGTGCGCAGTTGTAACTACGGTTCAGGATTTAGTATCAAAAATTTATCCAAATATTGCTCATATTCGTTATAAGCCTATGGAATATTTGTGTAAACATGCTATACGAACTCCAAAAAATTACCAACCGGCAGCTATCAATGATACACTGCTGATGTCTTTTGAAGGGGAAGAAAAAATATATACTTCGATAGATACAGTGATCAACATAGATTTATTATGCAACTAATTATCCAGTTGAATTTTTAAATTTATTGAAATCACCGGGTATGCCATATCATAAGCTTATTCTGCGTGTGGGCACCTATTATATCATCGCGAAATTTGAAAGCACCTAAACTGTGCAATGGTACCAGGTTAGGGCAGTGGCAGTGGCATATACAGAAATTTTTTTCGGGAGGGGTCCAAAACATTTATATTGTAATTTTATTGAATTTAGATTTTAACTTTTGATAATTGTTTAAAAATAAGACAGAAAAAGATTTAATCTTCTTTTTTTAAAATTAATATCATATTTTCATATGATATTATGATATAAAATTAAAAGCAGTCAATGATTAATTTGAGCTTAAGTCATTTTTGACTGAAAATATTTATGTTGTTAAAAAAAAAAAATAAGTATTTTAAACATTCGTAAAATATCGAAGGAATTTCGGGGGGGGGGGGGTCAGACATCCTGGTTAGGTATACAATTATAGTATATTTATTTATTACATAATTAACTCCTAATAATAAGCATTAAACCATAAATTGAGACCCTTAAGATATTTTAATGAACTATTGAAGTACAATTAAATAAAATAAATGCAACCCGGTAAAAATCATTTTTTATTTTTATTTTTAAATTATTTCTAAATATGTATTCATAAAGCACCATTAAAATATAACAAACGTTTTAAATAAATTTTAAATTTTTTGAAACATTACGGGAGGAGGCTGTAGCCCACAAGGCACCCTCCCTATATTCGCCACTGCATGATATATTTATTTTCCTTGCAACTAACTAGCTAGTACTCAGCAACATTTACTTGGGCCTCCAATATTATTAT